CAGAGTAGGAGATTGACAGAAAAGTACACGATGGTCAGTGCCCCAGAACGTCTAACGCGCATTTCAATGACATTAAATTGAGCTAAATGAAATCAACGCATTTCAACTTTGCTTAGTTAAGCATTCGTCGATCCTCGAAAATGCAAGACAGGACTTCACTTGAATATTCTTTTACGATGGTTAAGGGCCGCTGCTAAGAGTAGCTGTAAAACGCAGTCAGCATATGACATTACATTACGTCACACGCACTTTAAATATGCGCACAATGACTGAAAGGGTTGGTACCAAGGTCACGTGATGAATTCATTATCCCTTACAAAAAAATTTATGAATAAATCCTCTGCAAAATAAACGCTGGCATAAAATATTATCCGCTTGCCTTTCGTTATGATGAGACAATTCGGTGAGAATCGCCGCTATGATCTCTTCTTGCCTGTCGACGTTCGCATTTCCGTTCAGCTTCAGGCTTTCGAGCGCACTACCTTGGAAGATGTCCGCGTCACCACGCTACAACATTTTAAATCTGTATATCATACGAAAATGAGTCAGAGAGAACAGAAGCAAAATGATGTGCCGCATATGGGATCAAAAACAAGTGCAGAAGCACGGCTAGTACATAAAGCTATGAGTGAGGCTGAAACACTGTAACCGCTTTTTTAACTCATCTATACATTCGGTGAAAAAAACATGAAGTCAACTTTGTTTGACCCAGCAACTCATAATTATTAAAATTTATTTAAATTTTATTTATTTACACCAGTTCGAAAACAGGCTTACGCCACCGCGGAAGAGTTTATAATTTCAAGTCAAAATCTGCAATATACTGAACCTGTCATAGAAAAACTACTATAATGGTATCATTCCAATAACGTTAAAACACAACCTTGATTACCATCATCTGATCTGAAGCTCTCGAACGCTGCTCATGGTCTGAGCAATTATAGCTTTATGTGCCGAGCCATCCCTTGACACGTGGTCTGAACTTGGGGCATGGCTTTGAAAATTTCCCTAGATTAAACGAGTAGAAGTATTTAATACTGTTATACATCTATACTGATAATCATTTTTTATGCTTCATCATTCACCTACGGCAATGGGATAGACAAATTCTTATATCAATTGACTTTACTTGTCAAACGATTTGAGGAAGAGAAACCCTGTTCGTAATCTAGTAGTATGATGAAATGGGAAGGACTGCGATGGCCAGTCATGTCAGAGATGAAAAACGAATGAAGGATGCTGGAGAATGGACGGGCGATAATTCATAAGCCGACTGAATTTTCCCACTGAAAACCTGAACAATATTTAGGTTCGTCATCTGCATCATTCAAACAACAGAAGAATATAGCAGCAGAGTCAGAGTACAAATCAGTAAATGCACACTCTGACGGACTGCAATAGAGCTTTCGACGATCCAACAAATGACGCATAGTCCATGAACGAGGCAGAAAGACCTGGACAGAAAAACATGTAAGGTCTGTAAGTTCAGTGTTTTTGCGATATAATTAGTCAAGAAGTTAACAGGTGAAAACTTAACAGCCGTAGAACTCTGCTTTCTAAAAATATTTCTGAAACATGCACCTGATTAACCGCATATCATTCAACAGCAATAATGTGCTGCTAAACACAACATATACCAGCTGACTTAATGCAGCTGGACGCAATCTCTTCGGTACTTTGATTATAGCCTGTTTATTCGATTTAAAGTCGTGTGAGAAATAGACAGATTTTAGAACTAAGCAATGTGTTCCAAGGGATGCAGACAATCAATTAAATTTATAAAAATTTAAAAGTTTGTAAGTTTAAATTGTTCAAAACAGAATCAATCAGGTCATGACCATTTTGAATTCTGAGTAACATCCGCCAAACATCGTTTGTTCTCAAGCCGCTGGACACAGAATTAAGATAAATAACCGCAAAATCTTAAACAAAATCCTTGTATTTTCAAGCCATGATCTCGTCTGCCAGGCCATAAGAAAAGTAAAAAAGGCAATGCAATCATTTAAGACCCGTTCACCTACCAACAGTCCATCGACTCCATCGAACTCGTTCGATCCAAAAGCTTCGTAGTCCGTGAAACTGTAGTTCTGAATTTCTTCAGACGTCTTTTTCAGGTTTTCATGGACGTTTTCCAGGTCTTCCGTCGCCGAGTTGTTTCTAAAACAAGCTTACATTCTGCATCTGACCGTTTTCGGGGTCGAATTATAATAGGACCATGTTCTCACCTTGAGGCACAGTTCGAAAACGAACGGTTCATAATGAACGAGTCGCCGAGGTTGCGTCGTAATTGTGTGTTCAACAGGCGATACACGGTGTTCTGAAACGCCGCTGACGTCATAGTATAAGTACAGGAAAATCGCGTAGAGCACTTGCCTGTGAGCTCTTGGAAAACGTGTTTAATATGGCGGTGAAAACCGACGCGTTCAGACTAAACAGAGACACCAACACGTTCTGAGAGGCGATGCGGATTTCCAGCGACTTTGGATCACCCGTCCATTGGATAATACGCGACACTGCTTGCCGGACGTCGGACGTGTTGGGTAGTTGCGTGGAATCCATGACACAGATCAGGTCGTTGAGGTAATGCAGGAAACTCAATTTCACCTAATGGAAAGAAAGAAAAAATTCTGTATAGAGATCAGGTTCAAGAAATAATGTAATATATCAATAAACCTTATTTACTAGCACTGCATCGGTTCAAACAATTTTTCAATGAATAGTGTGAAACCGCATATTTATACAAATCCATGGGAAATAAATAGACATGAAACTATAACCTACATAACAAGGATGAGTAGCATGCAAATCGTGCCGTGACAAAATATAAATGCGAACAGACGTAAGCGCATTCTCCTCACAGATAGTATTGATTCAACAAACTAAGAAGCCACTCTTTTCGTTCCATAGCTGTGCGCCCCCAAGCGTGATCTTCCAGAGATATAATCTTACCGTTTCAGAAGTCTGCCGCGTGGTAACTTTAGGTCTTCCGGGTACCTTTCGCTACAGCTATGACTTCTCTATCAAATGACGCTGGACTTAGTCCTTAAACTTTAACATTCTATACTGTTCTGTCTATAGACGGTCACAGTTTTCATCCTGCTCCGCTGTGCACGCCGTCACGACCCGAAATTCCCAACAGCTTCCTGTCCATCGCCCTCTCCGTGAATGCCAGCTGCTCCGTTAGCATTTCCGTCAGTGTTCATGTTACGCTGCCCTAACAGTGCTGACAGTAATGTCGAGATAAAAACGTCTGCGCATGTATCCCCTTGATTAACCGTGGCAAGACTTCATCTTGTCATAGCTCAGCAATACAGTTACCTTGTCTCATCAAATTATGTAGGTTACATCTTGGCCAGTATCCTTAACGTAACTAAACAAGTATTCCTTCAAGGACTGTTAAGATTTCCCACCAGACATTAGTCTGAATAAACTTGGCTCTCGAAACACTGATGTATGATCCAACTGTGCAGCAACTTCTGAAACTCTTTCAAGATTCCTGCAATGAACATGATGGCATACTCTAATTTGAGATCATTCAGCTGTTCAACGTTGATATAATATTACCCTTGCAGGGGTAACCAACTAGAGGCAAGCTGCAATCAGTTTCCGTGAAACTGAACTTTTTTTGTGCGCCTTTTTTCGAACGAAACTCTAAAAGTGTATCAATATAGGTTATATACGTGGAACAGCCGGTAAAAATTGCATCAAGGTATTCAAGGGATTCGCGTTCGATGTCCTGTTCAACAAGAGACCTCATTATTGCATTAATTTCGATGCTGTCAAACGCTTTTTTGGAATCGACCAAGGCAGCGCACGTGGTGAACTGCACCCTCTTGCCGTTTACAATAGCTGATTCACGGCAAGGATATAATCTATCGCGCAAATTTCTTTCAGAATCCAGTTTGTTCCTTCGAGTCTTGGTCATCCAGACTGCGCGTTATGCTGCGGTTTGTTACAATTTTTATGAATAATTTGCAAACACGCGACAGCAAGTAAACTGGATGCAAATTATTCAGGCATGGTCGGCTATTTAATGTAGCAATACAGTGTCTGACTTAAACAGGGTTGCTCAGATGGTAGGGCATCGGATTCAAAACTTAGACGTTTTAGGTTGTAACCCAGGTCCAGTCACTAACCTTTCTTCCTTTCTACGTAGATAAATGAGCATCACTCTGTGAAAAAAAACTGGTTCGCACACACTGTTTGCCGCACAGCCAATGCTGACTCCACATTTCAAATAAGGCACTTCTGGCTGATGGTATGGAAATGGCAATCAATGCAACACAATACACTTCGTGGAAAAAAACGGCGCAAAAAATGGTTCCATCATGAAAGTGAAAAGAAGACCGACATCCCAACGGTTACAGACTTTCGTTCATGATTTCTTCCAACTGGATGATGGTAGTGTCTTTGTTTTGTAAAAATGATTTTATCATTTAGCAAAGGCATTCTGATGAATGTACCCTCTGACCTGTTTTCATCCCGTTGAAGTGACTTCGTCTTATACTCCCTGAGCTTTTCGCAATTCTATTGGTAAATCGCACACCGAAATTTGCGATAAGTACCAGCAGTACTTTTGGAAAGAAAACATCGAGTCAGCTGTTCGAACAATCATTGTAGACTGACTCGATCTCTCATTTATCGGTTAATCTATCTTCATCCCCAGTTTAAGACGCAGCCATTTCTAATTTTGCATGATTCATTTCAGTCCGTACCTTTTCAGGCTAAACGTTCTCTGAGTGCCCTTACCAGCTCTATATTTCTGTCCTCTTAAAAGTCTTCTTTAAATCAGTATTTAAATTCTTGTAAAGAAGGGAATATTTCATATCTCTACGCATCCTCAGCAAACTTCTTGCTTCCCTCAAGATCCACTCTTCAACTCTGTTCCGCGTTGATTCCTCGGCTGATTTCATACATAGCCATTACCGGCGAAGTTTCTTAATTTTTCTTGTGCTGTGACGTGCAAAAACTGATCGTAAAATATACTGACAGCTAGGGACATGTGCAATATAGCACTATGATCTAGAGTTGCAAGTAAGTATTATGACCTATGCCAGTAGGTCACTAATCTAGCATATAACGAGGTCACTAGGTCACTAGGTTAGAGTTCACCATATCACCAAGTTCATTAGATCACTACATAACTAGGTCAATAGTTCTCTACATCAGTACGCCACTACGTCACTTGTTTTGTAGGTCACTAAATTAGCGGGTCTAGTTCATCAAATCACTACGTTCAGAGGTTACTATTAGTATATCAGTAGGTCAGTATGTCCGCAGGTAACTAGGTCAGTAGATCAGTGGGTCACTTGCTAATTAAATCACTAGGTTAGGAGATTACAATCAGTAGGTCAGTGTGTCTGTAGATAACTAGGTCAGTAGACCAGTGGTTCGATAGGTCAAAAGGACTCTATGTCAGTATGTCACTAGGACAATCTGTAAGTAGGTTAGTAGGTCAGCGTTGCACGTGCACAATAAATAATTTGACTTTTAAA